AGGTATCTGCTGTGGTTAGTCACATGATAAACATCTTCTGACACAAGTAGCTCGAAGAATATAAGCAATACGTGCGTGTCAATACTCACTCTGTTCTCTACTGCTTCGTGGGCCGTTTTCATCTGTACCGGTGCGCTTCAACGCTTGAAGCTTAGTGTATTCCAAATTTAATCATGCGTGAAATTGTGCACATCCAAGCTGGGCAATGTGGCAATCAGATCGGTGTGAAGGTAAGACAAGGTTTCTGTGTGTCATATACATATTTCAGTGGTGAGAAAGTGAGCTAAATATTTGTTACTTTGAAAGAGAAAGAAAATTTTATATAACTCTATCATTCATCTAATGTATATGGATTTTGAGGATGAACATCAGCCCTGTTTTAGCGTCGTGACATTAGGCACCCAGATTATGCAATATCCAATGAGTTGTACAGTGATATTCAATGGATATTTTAATAGATCAATGAAACTGCCGATGGTTTAGAAATATACATTGACTTAGATATCTGACTTGCAAAGAGTACGACAGTGAATGTCTTTTACATAGAACAATGGAACCATACGCCAAAACTAATTCAGTTTAAAACGGCCAAAACAATCCGGAATCAAAGGTTATCGTAATTGAATACAACACCGATTCATCAAAAGTAAATTATCCAATATCTTTGGGTGTAGTGTTTAGTCATTTCGTAAATCAGATTTATTTTCATTTTGGTCCCTAGCTAAATCAACTAACCGTGACCAGACTCTCGTTGTTTTAGTATGTATTGTGCCTATGAGTAATAACATTATTTCCGGTGCCTTCAACTAGTGAAAATACATGCAGGTTAGACAGAAGTATACCACTGTTGAAACTATCTAACTCAAGATTAAATTTAATGAAAATTTTAGACAAAGATATTGGATTGCGCCACGTCACAGAAGCACTGATATACCATAAAAAATCGTTTAAGTTGTTTCTTCATTTCAGTTGAGATTTCAGTTTCTAAAAGCTTATTCATCCCGATATGTGTTTGGCAATAAGGTACTTCGCTATGATTCCATATGAGCCTCGTCTGAATAGATCACTGTGAGATTTGTTGGTAGACTTTGCGAAAGGGAACTGTGATGAGGGGATACAGGCTGTGATTTCTTACACTATGGGCTCCTGTTTGCTGTCACCGTTTGGTAATAAACTGCTTATTTACCAACATCTTTAAGAGCTATTCATGACTTAACATCTGAGTTACTCGTTATTCATTCACTAGTGAAGAATTCATAAAGTTTGTTCACTTTCTAGTCAGTTTATCTCAAAAATATTATTTTGCAGTTAGAAAGACTGAAAAGGAAGTAATGAATAGTAGTGTGGTTGATTCTTATTGTCTAAAATTTCGTTAATTGATTACGGGACGCTGTATGTGAAATAACAAGGAGTGAATCAAACTGATGTCTTTAATTCTGCCTCACTAACTCCGTGGAACGTGAGGTCGGCTGAGTGCAACTCATTGAAGTTTTGGGTTATGAAAAACCACGTGTACTTTGGTACTCTCAATTTTAATTACAACATCTGAAAGATGATTTCAGTAGATTTGCTGAAATGATTTGTCATTTGTTTTCCTCAAACGTAGTGCACCTGTACGTTAGATTTGATTTTGAAATGAGTGCCATCCATGCATGCATGCGTGTATGCATACTATCTGTACACCAAATGGTCCTGTGATACTCGCACACTTCAATTCCAATTTGTATTCAATTAGATTTGGTTTCGCTGTCATTAAAAAAACGACTCACTGATTTAAAATATTTTTGGTCGGATATTCTCTCAGAGTTGCTTATCCATCGTAACGTGAAGTTCTCAAAATCCTAAATATGAAAGTAACCTTTTCACGAAGCAGCTTCCGAGTGTATTTGAAAATACCTCGATTCAACGAGGTGCAACGCTTGCCTTTCGAAGGGTAAAACCTAGGCAATCAAAGGCACTCAACGCAGATAGATCCTCATATAGCAAATTAAAAGCTACCGTTGTTAAGCGACTGAACTTTACAGCTAGAAAACTACATCCATTTTGCTTTCTATTGATTTAATCCGAAATTTCTGTCTCTATTTCTGTTAGTTTTACTGTTTCAAAGAAAGATTTTTTCTTTTTCAAGCCCCTTCCCTCTCGTAAACAGATATAACGCAATCAATGATTTTCTATTCACACGAACTATGACTAAAATTTATTCACTAGATATTGCCAAATTGAATCCAAGTCTGTAATAATTTTTCATCAACTAGTTTTGGGAAGTCATCTCTGAAGAGCACGGCATCGATTCAACAGGAACGTATCGAGGTGACTCGCCACTGCAACTGGAACGGATCAATGTGTACTATAATGAAGCCAGTGGAGGAAATTATGTGCCACGGGCGATCCTTGTCGATTTGGAACCTGGCACAATGGACAGTGTGCGTGCGGGAGAATTCGGGGCGCTGTTCCGTCCGGATAATTTTGTATTCGGACAGAGTGGTGCCGGGAACAATTGGGCCAAAGGACACTACACAGAAGGAGCCGAATTAGTCGAATCAGTAGTGGATGTTATCCGGAAAGAGGCCGAGAACTGTGAATGTCTTCAAGGATTCCAGCTTACACATTCGCTTGGTGGCGGTACAGGGTCCGGAATGGGTACTTTACTCATCTCGAAAATTCGGGAAGAATACCCTGATCGAATCATGGTTACTTTTTCTGTGTTGCCGTCCCCAAAAGTAAGAAATCAATACATTATTTGTCAAATTTATACTCGAATGTACTCAATCATGCGCTGTGTTGATGGTAATACCAGAAAGTTGTTACAGGTCGATTTTTAAATGAAAATGACTTCGAAGTTGTCTTTTATATTCTGAAGTAGAAAACTTTTTTGCATTCAGTTTTTTGCAGCAGATCCATACCTACTAACTTTCGTGTTTATCTCGTGCATATTATCGATTTGTTTTCAAAGGGATTGACTTTAGTCGAAATTAGTTGTAATCGCACACTCATAAAGCTCATCATATTCTCATATACATTTTACCCTAATATGTTAAATATCATTAACCGAACGGCTCCAGTGGTACAGTTTTATTGAAAAGCTTTCCTTAATATTGTTTCCGATCGCATCCATTCATCATTCGTCAAGATCACTGGATAATATCTATGTGGTAGGGGGAAATATATTTTGCATTTTGCTACGATTATGGAAAACTGTTGCCTCCCATTACATCCTATATGATGGTTTTATTGGATCATCATATTATTACTTCTGGATACCTTATTCACGCTCTCACTCTCCTTCTTTTAACAATTATCATGAATTTCATCAAATATGTGATCGTGGTAAACAGCGGACAAGCTTAACTTCATGGTTACATGGACCTGCTATACGGTGGTGAGAAACAGCAACCTAGCCCTAGAGCATGGATAAGTAAGCTATTCAGGGCCTTAATTAGAGTTGGCATGGTAGTTGAATCCTAGTTGATGGATTCCATCTTCGAATTTACGCAGTGCGTACAACAAGGGCATAAAAGTTCGTTCGCAGACTGGATACTCAAAACATATTTGGTCTTAGCATACTTAATTGATTCAACGAGACTATAGAACAAGAAATATTGTGATCAACAGATGCTGTTAGCAGTTGGCACCTTATAACAGTAAAATCTCTGTGGTGAGCCTGCCCAGCTATTTTACAGGACCGACTGTATGAAACAGAGCTCGATTAGGAATGTCGGAATGACAGGATTACTATCACCTATTTCAAAGAAACTAAAAGCCAAATAGAGTAGTATGTTTAGTGATCAAAAATACAATATAGACCCACATCAAATTGGTGGATCTTCTTTCATCTAGACAGAATTTATATCGACTGGATTGGTCAACACTCAGCGGACTCTGGGAACAGTAAGAATCAAATTATGCAGCCGGAATCCAACATTCTTATTTAGTTAGATTACACACTATCCTCTAGCGTATAAATACACCGGTTAGTTTCCAAAAGTTTTGCCTTTACAATTGCTGTTTTCTCACATTCAAAAAATTTCTAGTCTG